CAGAATCACTCAGACAATGACGTTTATTTTAATCATCCGACGGATGTTCGTTGCGCCAAGTATTCCCCGACAGGTTTTTATGTCGCTTCAGGGGGTAGGTTTTGCTTTTGTTCGTTCGTTCATTCTTTAGATAAATCCGGAAGAGTGCAAATATGGGATACCACACAAAAAGAACACTTAATGAAGAATGAATTTTCACTCCTATCGGAAATCAAGGACCTTGCATGGTCCAGTGACAGTGCTCGTATTGCTGTTGGTGGTCGAGGCTCTGAAAAGTAAAAATTTTCCATTCATAACCTATGTAAGGTTTGGCAAAGTTATTAACGCTGAATTGGGAACCGAAGTTGGAGAGGTTGTGGGCATGAGCCGGCCAATTAATGCTGTCGATTTCAAACCAACACGACCATTTCGACTGGCTACTGGAAGTGAGGACTTTTTGGTTTGCTTTTTCGAAGGCCCTCCATTTAAGTTTAAGAAGTCTCTCAGCGTAAGTCTGGGGCCTGATCAGTTTTACCGAATCACTGTCAACCGATTTTCTTCTTGGTTTAATTTTGACTTTGCGATTTTTTCCTAACAGAAACACAAGAACTTTGTAAATTGCTGCAAATTCTCCCCAAAGGGTGATATTTACGTCACCGGAGGTGCGGATGGTCGCGTAAGTGTTTATCTTCGATATATTTTAATTTTAATCCTAGATATACGCGTTCAATGCCAACGACACTGAATTTGTTGGAGAATTTGGTTCTCCTGCTCACTCTTCTGGTATATATGGTCTCGAATTTTCTTCGTCAGGAAGTCGGCTTGTATCCGTTTCAACTGATAAGACGGTAAAACTCTGGGACAGTGGCAGCGGTAATTTTAATCTCCTATCCGAGTTCGCGTTCGAGAACAAGCCAGAAAACCAGCAGGTACGCGACCTTTGCCAATTATTTATTTATGTCCTTGCGCCTTGTCTCCTTTATCGTAGTTTTATTTTTAAGTGATCTGAAAGTACGCATCGTTAGAAGGAGTCGATTGCACTTTTTTCAACTGACCTTGATCCGTAGTTGTAAACTTCCCACACAGACACTGTTTAGCGTGATGCCTTTGATGGCAGTTAGTGAAGTCGGTATCATATAAAGGTCTTATGGACTGATCCTAGGGTGATAATAAAAATATGTTAATGCCAATTAAGACAGCCAAATGTTTTTCGGTTATTTCGATGACATAGTATAGTTAACATACTAATCGAAATCGTCCCGAAATCGTCTTTATTTGTCCATCACACGTCTGCTTGAGCAGACAGCCTGATGTGACATTCTCTAGGTATCTTCATATTACCTG